TTGTTAGTTAGCTACATGCCATTAGTGAAATAAACATAAAGCTAATGATTCAGTTGTTAGAACGTCTGTGATGCTCCTGCCCCATATGCAATTTTCTCCCTTTTCACTTTTGGGGTAACTAGACTTTAAAATGTTCTTACTTCATTGTAATTGAAATACACGAAAAACAGAAGCATATACAAGAAATACAAGAAGTAAAATAGAAAATGTTGAAATATGAATATGTGTCGGGTTTTCTAGAAAATATCCAATCCAATTCACACCAATTTCAGTAAATACCATAACCATTCAACTTTGCGTAATGAATGTCTATTAGTCGCACTTAATCTTCAGAATGTAAAGTTACTTTATAAAGCTACTTTTTATATGAATTGTTGAATCATACGTGTTTTGTTAATTGTTAAGAATTTGCAAGCCAGTTTTTTTTTAAAAATGTTAATTTCGTCTGAAATTGTTTACGTTTTATTCTAAAAATCTAACGTCCACTCAACTAAGATTTTTAAATGAGTTATATGGATGCATTCACTTCACGATCCTTTCTCTGTACCTGTATGTGTGTGTGTGTGTTAAGCAATGCGGGACACTAAGGAGGCTTTAGAGAATGTGAGCGCATCCTTAGAGACATTACAAGAAGCTACTACCAAGCTGCGGAGGTCTTTACAGTCGGAGCGCAGCTCGCTCTCAAACACACTCCACGATCCAGCCTGCGGCAGCGGAAACGCCACACACACGTGCAACAACATCCGGGCCGCACTCAACCAGCTCGCTGTCAGCGCCAACTTTAATGGGGTAAAACACACATACACACACACACACAGTACACGTCTCGCATGTTTTATCGTCCACACTATTTTGTCCCACTCTATGAGGAAATTCGGGCTGAAATAAAAAGATAAGATAAAAGCAGACAACTTCCTTTTTAATCATTTTTACTTAAGCAATAACTGTATGACTTCATCACATGCTATATACCAGTCTGGGTGTTGATGGATACTTCTGCAATTTGGGTTACGTTGCAGCTACCGGATGTCAGTCCTCAGCTAGCAAATCTAGAAACTGTGATGGAGACGGATCTCAGCTACATCGTACAGAAGGTACTGCATGTGTGTCGTTTATTCGCTTGCATGTCAGTCTGTTATCTAGTCCATTGTGTAATGGTGTGACGGTTTTAAATAAAAGTGGCATGACAGTAAACACAAGACAGCATTTCCATTATGATACATGGAAAACCATGCTACTGTCATTATTTCCCCCTCTCTCTCTCTCTCTCTCTCTCTCTCTCTCTCTCTCTCTTCCTCTTTGTTTAGGGCTATTCTGCTTTTAATGACACTTCCAGGATAGTGCGCGAACAGACACAAGACTTCGTGACCAGTGAGTAAAATTTCCACTTATCTATAAGCATTTATTACACTCACTGATGGCGGTATCTCTATCCGATGTCTCATTTTTACATTTTTTTTATATTTACGATTATGTTTCTATCTGTTACTAGTAATATAAATAGATCCACCTGAGAGCAGGTATGTAGGAGTTCAAATAAAAGAAGACAGGAATGCAAGAGATTAAAACAATCACATTTTCGTTATCAACCTTATCAAAACCTCATCTCCCACTTATCATAATTATAAACATCATCTAAAATATATTTCGAGCATTGTTACACTTTTATTAAAACTTTCAAATTGGTCATCTCGACCCGACTAGAACATAACTGTTAATTGTTACTATGATAAAGCACGAGTAGTTTGTGTTCAAGTCTTCGGGTAGTTTTGCAGGTGGATTAAGTGTCCTGGATTAAGTGTTGGATATAGTCAGTAAGCTTGAGAATGAAAGACATGCAAAAATTTCTGAAAGATGGATGTCCATTCTGTTTTGTGCTCTCTATACATTTCTACTAAACACAATACTGTTCTTTTCTTCTGTTTCTGCACTCCTCTGTTTGGAACTTCAGCGCTGCCCAGTAAGTCTCTCTCTCTCTCCCTATCTCTCTCTATTACTAATGCACTTTCCTTTTTACTGCTTTACTACACCCTTAGTACCTTTAGGTATGATTGATCCAAATGTCTGCCAGATTTTAAATGAATTTCCAAAGCCAAAGGTGTTTCCATCAGCTATTCCTATGTGAATATGCAGAAGAAGGAGCAACAGCATGATGTAACTCAAGGACATCAGACACACGTAGACATAAGCTATTTACTAATCTTTCTAATTTGCACACAGTGCTGTTGAATGCTCAATTCACAATATATGCACACACACACACACACACACACACACACACACACACACACACACACACACAGTACTGTGCAAAAGAAATGCTGTAGAGCAAAGATGCCTTCAAAAATAATGAAATTGAATGTTTCTACCTTTAAGAAAATACTATAAAGAGCAGTAAACAGTAATAAATGAAACAAAGTCAATATTTGGTGTGACGATCCTTCGCTTTAAAAAAAAAATAGTCATCTCAGGTACAATGTGTGCAGTTTTATAAGGAAATGAGCTGTAAGTGTTACTGAGCATCTTGCAGAAGCAGCCACAGTTCTTCTGGAGACTTTGACTGTCGACTCGCTTCTTATTTTTGCAGCAAAACCCAGCAGCCTTCATTATGTTTTTTTGTCTGAAAAGTGTCTCTTATATATAAACAACATAGTTCAGACAGTAGTGCTGGCTGGCTCCTGCAAGGTTTATACTAATGCACTCGTTCACGTGTTCTAATAAGTCATCTTTTCTATAGTAGCAACTTAAAAAGGGATTTGTGTGAAAGGCTGGCGAGGGAACAACTGTTCATAGCTGTGTTTATAATAATAATGTAAGTGATAACAGGAACACAGAAATACAGACATTCCACAACATTACTGAAAGGCAATCAACTTCAGAGTGGCAACATATCACACCACCCTGTCATGTGTTATTCCATACTTTTAATATTTAAGTGGCTCACCTTACCCACATGTCCTCAGACCTGACTTTTAGTACAATTTTAGTACTTTAGTTTATCACTGTTTCACTTTTCCCTCATTCTGTGTGAGACAAGCTTGGTTCTTACCTCCGTGTGTACACCTAAGTATATCTACATCTCTCTCTATCCTTCTTTCTGTGCTTAAGAAGTGAAGGCTTTGTTGGATAAGTCAGGAGCAGAAATTGTTGCTTTCACCAATACGTTCCCAGTGGAACCAGCACTGGAGAACTTCACTCGGTTTCTGACAGAAGCAGAGAAGGACATAGAGGCGTTCTACCCACAGATTGACCAGTTTGACTTTTACAGGTAACGGGACACCAAACCGTAGTACTGTATTAGAGCTTTAACTGTCGTCTCGATCTCAAATAAAATTGTAAAAAAAAAAAAAAAAAAAAAAGGTACATTTAAAGGTACATTTCATTTAAAAATTCTTTTTTAGAATATCAATTATCAATTCTAATATCAACATCAAAGGTCAAGCACAAGTCAATTAATTAAACTCATTATTTAAAACTGAGGATAATAATAATAATAATAATAATAATAATAATTTTCTAAAAGATATTTTATTGACACCTTCTGGAACATGAGCAGAACTTTGTCAAATAGGACTAGATATGTTCTTGCAAAATATCATTCAGAAATGCAGTCTTTCATTTAAAGTCTGACCAAATAAAATAAAAAATAATTAAAAAAGAATATTCCCTATTCCCAAAAACAATCTTAATTTGGGTTTCTCTCTCTCTCCTTAGGTGGATAGGGTGTGTGGTGCTGTGCTGCATGGTTGTGCTGATCTTGGCTTTTAACCTTTTGGGTTTGATGTGTGGAATGTGTGGCCATGATAAGAACGCCACACCTACGACACGCGGCTGCCTCTCAAACACAGGCGGCAACCTCCTCATGGCGTAAGTTAGATTAAACAGGTATGAGCTGAATCTAAAATGAACAGCCAATCATAGTTGTTTAATAATGAAATGTTTAATTATTTAAGTATGTGATAGTTATAATGCTGCCAAATTTTCCCACATACATTATGTCCACAATTTGGTCAATCCAAGAGCAGAATAGCTTACAAGAAACTAGCTAGTGTGAAAACACCAAGACATATTTCTAACCACTTAGATATATCAAATTTAATGCAATGTTAAATGATAAACTAGCCATTCATCAGTCCGATTATGTAAAAGTAAATATCTATTCTATTTGTTTGTGTGTGTGAAGAAACACAAAATGTGTGGTTCTGCATGCTCAGAGTGGAAGCTGTGTTTTATTTGTGAACTCCGGCCACTAGGTGTCAGCAGTCCCCTAAACATTTCCCTTTCAACATTTCGAGAACTTGAGTAGCAGCAAACTGTGGCAAAGAAGCAGTCTGCTTAAGGCGAAGCCCATATACTACTACTACTACAGTAATGACATCTCAAATGATTAATTTTAAGGCAAGGCCATGTAAGTTAAGTTTGTTAAGGTGCCAAAGAATGCAAGTATTTTTTTGTCTCCTTTCCTGCGATAAAATTTCAGTCTCTCTGGTGTAATATGCCAGTCGTAAGTATTGAATAGAACTAGAAGACATCTTGTTGTCAGAAGGCTGTGTCTGATCAGGCTGCTCAGTGTCAGGAGGATGGCCTCCTGGCTCGCACAAAGGCAATTGTAGGTCATCCTTCCTGACCCTGAACTATAAGTCCTGGCTAGTAGATTTGGGCAGTTCAGGAAACTCCTTATTCGTAAGAAGGGTGGGCTTGGCTGGCCTAACCTGGTCCACCTGATTGCAGCAGAATGTGGCACCCTTAACCTTCACATATGATCCAGATGGCAGTTCTGTCTCTTGGTAAAGGCTTCATCATAATGCTCTACGCCATGCTCAGTTCTGGAAGGTCTTAGGCAGAATTGTTATAAGTTCCTGTGGCTACTTGTCTTGTACGGTTCAGCTTCTCCAAAAACACCTCTAACGGTGGCTGATGTCTGCCTGCTGTGGGAGTGTTTCTCCAGAGCAAGATGCCTTTCCATGGATTATTACTGCTTACAGAGGCTCTTGACAAGGTCCCTGGAGGACTAGTGGTTAGGTTTCGGTGCTCTCGCTGTCGTAGCCCGGGTTCGATTCTCGGTCAGGGAACCGGCCCCAGCCACTGGGGTGGACAAGGCAGTGCACCAGATAAAATTGGGGAGGGTTGTGTCAGGAAGGGTGTCGGGTGTAAAAACTGTGCCAAATCAAATATGTGGATCAATGATTCGCCCTGGCGGCCCCTAACTGGAGCAGCCGAAGAAAAAAAAAAAAACAGAAGCTCTTGACAATTCTTACAGGTCACTCTGCTTTGCCATTGGGCTTCAGATGTTTGGGGGATGTTCAGAGTCCCAGTTTTGGGCATATTTCTGAAGGTGGCACAGTCAAATTGTGGGCCAGACTTCATGATAACCCAATCAGTCTGACCATAACTAGCAAATGAACTTTGCATCTCAGCTTCCGCTCTCTGCAGTGGTTGATGAGGATAATGAGCTTCGCATTGCGGTCCCAGATGGCCTCCTCTGAATCTCCCAAGCTAATGACCAGTATGTCACGACCAATTAGCTCCACACCACTCAGTGCATTGAGCATCTCATGGTGGCACTGAGAGCCCAAATGGCAATGGCAGTGTGAGCCAATGATTCCTACCACAGGGTGAATATGTTCTCGGAAAGCTGCTTTCCTGATCAAGCACTGTAAGAACGCAATGTAAGCATTCAAGTGAGAAAATGCAGTCTTTTGGGAGCTTATAAAGCACATCGTCCATGATGTAATGGGGCCTCCTATGCACTTTATTCAGGGACTGAGGATCAATGCAAATTGATAATGGGCTCACTAACTGGGGCTAGATGGCCACCGTGCTCATGCTCACTCCTCTCAGATAGTGAATTGCATCAGTCCCAGACATTCCCATGCATTAACATTCCCATGTTAATCTGATAACATAAGCTTCAATAGCCTTACCCTTAAAATTCCTACTAGTGTGGATAAAATTACAGTGAACATTTTCTCTTGCTCCTCCAGTAAATGGATATTGTATCTGGGTTTCAGAAACCCCTAAACCCCTTCTCTGTTCAATCATGTCATTAACTAGCTAGCATACTTCAGTTTAGCTAACTTTAGACTTCTAATATTATTAGGTCAACGTTAATTAGCTACGCTGGTAGCTAATTAATGAGTTATATAAAATTCAGCACAGGCTGCATTCACAGCACAGCTGAATTAGCCTTGTTCTTTGTAACCTTTGTATTTTTCTCTTTGAAAACTCAGAGGCATTGGCTTTAGCTTCATCTTTTCATGGGTGCTGATGGGAGTTGTGGTCACCACATTTGTTACTGGAGGAAATGTGGAGAAGCTTGTTTGTGAGCCTCTGGCCAACAGACAACTGTTTATGGTAAAAAAAAAATAAAATAAAAAAATTATGTATACAGTATATATATACACACACACATATATATACATACATACAAAGATGAGATGTGTGTACGTTCTCAGTGATGATGTGATGTCTGAAAACAATAATACTTCATTCTATGAACACGTGTGTGTGTGTGTGTGCGTGTGTGTGTGTGTGTGTGTGTATGTGTTGGCGTGTTGGTTTTGGCAAGGGTGAGACTCAGGAGTCTAAATTACACTTGCACTTCTCTGATGTTATGTAATTTTGAGGGCTGTCTGTGTGTGTGTGTGTGTGTGTGTGTGTGAGAGAGAGAGAGAGAGACAGAGAGAGAGAGAGATTCATGTTAGCTTTGTAAAGATTTGGAAGAAAATGTACTGATTTGGGGCAGATGATGTACAGGTATTTATACCATGGTCTGTCTGAATACTCGATTCTGATTGGCTGGAAGGTAGTTCCAGTCAGTTTAATCACCGTTCTAAATTAACGCGCTGCCTATAAACAGTTGTAACCATAGTAACATACAGTTATAGTTGCATACAGTAGTTAAACTCACAGGTTCATTATTAGTAGAGACGCGGCACAGACGCAAGTAATTCACACATGCACAATCTCTCTCTCTCTCTCTCTCTCTCTCTCTCTCGCTCTCTCTTTCACTCTCCCTCAAATAACAATTTATTATAATTCATTCAAATAAATGTAATCTTATTGCACTACTTTATCTCTGTGTATAATCTGGAGTGGGCAGAATTCTAGATCTATGTAAAAAAAAAAAAAACAACTAATGAAAATTAACAATTATTTTTATCCTTTCAGTCAAATTTTGCACTGCAAACATCAGTGACAGCTTTAATTTGTCAGTGCTTCCAGGTGACCATGGTATAAGCGGGAAAATCCATGGCTAGAGTTGCATTACATGAATTTAATGCACATCGCAGAGACAGCTTCTTTGCCTCCACATCGTGCAATAAAATCGTGTAATGCACACCTAGCTGTGGATTATCTCTTACATATCTGGGTCCCATTGAACAACAAAATTGTCAAGCCCCACCTGACTTTCTCAAAAGCAGAACTGTTTGACAAATTTCAGTTTCAAAATGCCATATTTTAGTATGTATATAAATTACATTTTTCTTCTGTGTAGATCATAGACGCTCCATACATGGTCCATCCTGGCAAAAAGAACTTCCTCCCTGGAATGCTGTTCCAAAACCCCAACATTGATCTTACCATCGGCAGCCTGTACAGGTGTGTATGTGTGTGTGTGTGTGTGTGTGTGTGTGTATATGTGTGTGAGTCTGTCTATACATTTTGTGTCTTTCTAAGGTTAGAACTACTTTTGTAACCCATCTCGGAGAAATCTCAGACCTTTTTGCCATCTGTGACTGAGATAATAGTGCACATGGCATCTTGCAAATGTTGCTAAGTATAAATTTATTCATTCATTTGCCATAAAGCTGCGCAGTTTAGAGCCTAACAGAAAGGGATTTGAACTCAGAACCTTCCTGTCACTGCTCACAGCGGTATAAAGAGTAATCTTCCCGCATGAGCACGCTGTTCCCCAGCACAGTGAGGAAGAGGATGAAGGAGGAACAGAAAGAGCCCAAAGATCACAGCTGTAGAATTAGCTGATTCATGTCATTGTTATATTTCATATTACAAGCTGTTTGAAAGCATTGCAAGAAAGAAGAGAGCGTCTCGCAAAATGAGCACCTGACCTGAGCACCAAGCGTCATTAGAGCTACACTTCTAACATAGGGTTAGGGTTAGGGTGATTAGTGATTTGTACTGATGGAAGAAAATGATATTAAGTTTGAAAAGGAAAAATTAGATTGTAGAAATGAAAAAAAAAAAAGATACAGCAATATTCTTTTTTATATTCATATTGCGTATCTGTACAATTCTGAAGAAAATAAATAACACAAAGTAATGGCTACTGTGTGTGTTTGCACCACAACAATAAGACATTATTTCTGTTTTTATTTCTCAGTGATTGTTATGAGAATAATGGCATATATTCTGCACTACAACTGGAGAACCTATTCCACTTCATCCAGTTCGTCAACAGAACCGTCGTGAGATTCATCTTTGTCCATTTAAAATAAGCAATTCAGAATCTTAAAGAGGTTCTCCATTCATTTTTCAGGATTTGGTGCAGAATTTAACAAGATGTCTGAAACTGAATGCACTGTATCTACGCTTTGCAGAATAGCCATGATCTGGCAGAGATATTTGAGGGGGTGATGGTAGACTTGGAAGGAATAATCCTGCTGGAGGAAGAAGGAAAAGACAATCTCATCAATTTTGCCAATGCAGGCCTTGGGGACATCAACTATGAGGCCTACCTCTCAGAGGTAGCACGCATGCATACAACACACATTTCCAGTATAGGTATATCAAAGTATATGAATATGATCATATCTTAGTATGCCAGTATAGTATACTATGATAATGATAAACCTGAAATTTACACAATGCTACACAAAATACATGTAACAGAACACACTCAGAGAGAGAGAGAGAGAGAATCCATGCGCAAATGTGCTTTAACATATAACAATCATATAACAATCATTTACATTTACATTTATGGCATTTGGCAGACGCTCTTATCCAGAGCGACTTACAATAGTGCTTTGAAGTCTATCAAGAATACATTCTGATATTGGCTCACTAGGTCACAAACTAGGAATACCATCAGTCCAAAAACTCTGTTGGGGAGGTGTTTTTTTTTTGTGTGTGTGTAAGTGCTAACTTAAGTACTTTATGAAGAGGTAAGTCTTTAGACGTCGTGTGAAGCCTGCCAATGACTCAGCTGTTCGGACATCTAGGGGAAGTTCATTCCACCACCTAGGTGCCAGAACAGAGAAGAGTCTCGATGCATGAATTCCTTGTACCCTGAGAGATGGTGGAACCAATCGAGCAGTGCTAGAGGATCGGAGGGAGCGTGGTGCCGTGCGAGGTGTGATAAGAGCTTTGAGATAAGTGGGCGCTGGTCCGTCTTTGGCTTTGTAGGCAAGCATCGGTGTTTTAAATCTAATGCGGGCAGCTACAAGGAAGCGAAAATCTAGATCCAACTGAGTCAAGTACACAAAGTCAGAAACCTACCTTACCAGTAGGATAGAACATCTTAAAGCACAAGAGTAAACCAAACAAAACAAAAGAGCATCAATGGCAGCCACAATATTTTGCAAGACTTTGCAATGAATGAGTGATCTTGGCATGTTTGCATAACGCAGAGCTAGGAAGTGAAACTTTTGCATGAGGTCATGTTAGACCGCAACCTCTGCTGTTGCGGAGACATCGGCCTTCCCTCCGAAGTTCAGTCACTTCTCTGACAGGGCCTGCCTTCAGTCTGGAAGCAGGTCAGTCCGGATGTTGAGGACGAAAATCTGTAATGAGAGATGGAATCTCTCTAGAATCACATCCGCACTGACCCAGGAAGTAAAATGCTCTCTGCTGTCAGAGGCAATGTGCAGCGGGATCCGGTAATATCCAGACATCTCCTGGAACATAATGTCCCTCTGTATTCCTGGGTGACCTGAGCTTAATGAAGTGTGAATCCAGTTCATGGGTTGCTTTCTTGTGGACTGAGGCATGTAGGTTTTCTCCAGATTACACTCTGGAGGTGTGGGTTTCTCTCTTTTGAGCCCTGATTTCTCACTAGCAGAAGCCACAATGCGAATGTTTAGAAAGATGTTCTGTTTCTTTAGTATAT